GTAGCCGTTCTTTACTTCGCTTATGTCTTGTTGAACAAAAACATGTGGCTTTTACCTTTTATCAATGTTATCATTTTATAGCAGCATATTTTACTGAAAAATAAATATTATAAGCAACATATGATATAGTACTAAATCTTTCAATGATATATTGTATCACCATACATCTTGAGGGTGTGGGTGTGGGTTGTGGATGCGATAAATAAGATACACTCACGGCCACATTTACACCCACCTCCACATCCACCCCCACATTCAACCCTCACTTATCCACCCCACGCTTACACTCATCCTGCTTCTATATCCTCCAGATGGATCTTTGAGACTCTTTAAGATCTATTGAAACCCATACGATCCACTTTTTCCCTGGGAAAAAAAATTTATCTTGGAAGAAAACTTCATTTTCGCACTCTTTGATTATCAAAGATCTATAAAATCAAGCACGAGTATGAATCAAACTACTATCTTGTTCAGAATATTATTCATCCAGTAGAGTTATTTTTCACAAAAATGAGCTGCCTACAGTGAACATCATTCATCATCAATGATAAATCCAACAATTTTATTTTATTCAACAGAGAAATGAAAAAAAAGACATTGATCAATGTCTTTCATGTTTTAATAACATAGATTTAATAAAGATGAACATTCTATGTTAAACGAAACAAGCTTTGCTATATTATATGAAAGGAGAAAAAATAATATTCGCGTGTTCTACACGATAAATTATTAACCAATGAAATTATTTTCTCGATGTCATTTCAACATTTTTTGTTTTTATTTTTGAAAATTTATATTAAGAAAAAAAAAGAATAATTTTTGTTTTTTTTTTGATTTTTAAAATAAATATATTGCTAACGATACAAATGAACAAATTATCAGTCGAATCATATCTTAATCAACTTATTGATTTCTTTGTTCGACCTCTAACCATAAACTAAATTCTCATGTAAATACATGTTCTCCAAAGTTCATGGAATTTGCTTATTTTAAGTCAATATATATTTTTTTTTCAAATTAAATCTAAATAAATTGTATCAGAAAAATGATTTCATTCAATAATAAACTATTCAATAAAATGTTGGACATAATAAAATTATTACGATGACAGATTTAAGGTATTGCATCATCTATTCTGATGATAAAGAAATTTATTATTTAAAATAACAAAAGGTCGACATATTTATTTTGTAAAAAATTTAACATGATTTTAACATTGCGAATAAAATCTACTGAATTTACTTTTATTTTTAGATGTCTTTACCCAATTTTTATAATCATTTATTGATATCATCTATATTTCCTTTTAAAACTGAAAAATATCCAATTATTTCACCACCAACTAAACGTCATAGTTTCTTCAGCAGTGGACCATTGGAGAAGTCGACCGAGAAACTGTTCCACTTTA